CTTGAATGATCTGTTTAGACTTTTAGAAAAGCAGTTTTATTTTTTATTTTGTAGTGCAGTTTGTATCTTTAAGGAACTGTGCAAATTAATGTTTTTTAACTTGTAAATCTGATGTGCCCCTAACTCTTTCTTCCTATACTGTCTCTTCTCCGCCAGGTGAATCTCCTGTCCCGCCTCCCTCTACGGTGTCGTCCTCGGCCCTTTCCACCTCAGCTGTGGCCCCTCCTCCCCAGCCTAAGCAAGGCAGCTCCTCGCAGCAGGACCGGAAGGTTCCCCCACCCATCGGCACAGAGCGGCTGGCCAGGATCAGGCAGACGGGTTCCGTCAACCCTCCTCTCCTCACCACCAGCTACACGGCATCTGTTGGACAGGGAGGCATTTGGTCGTTCGGGGTCGGCAGTGCTTCGGGTAAGAGAAAATAATATTTTGATATGCTGTCTCCTCTTTTTTTGCTTTTTAAGAATCAAAACAAATCTCAATTACTGTCGGCTAGTAACTGCTAACTATTATATATTATAACAAATAATACTAACCCTAACCCAGCGTGTCTTGGTACAGAGGCCATGTCTGGTTGGTCCCAGCCTCTGATGAGCAGCCACATGATGCACCCTCAGCTGCAGGCAGACCAGTCGGCCTTCTCTCAGCACCAGCCCATGGAGCAGGATGACACAGGCATTGCAAACCCTGCTAACAATTACCACCAGCCTCAGCATTTGCCCAACAGCTACATGGACTTCCCAAAGGTAACATAAAGTCTTAGCTCTGTAGATGATTTAACCCCTCTTCCTCTTATGTGCACATATTTGACCAATTCCTCACTGTTGTCTGTTTAGGGGATGCCTATGTCAATGTATGGAGGAACCATGCTGCCCCCTCATCCTCCCATGGCAGAGGGGCCAGGGGGACCGATGTACAATGGTTTGCACGCTGGTGACCCTGCATGGAGCCCCATTATCAAAGTGGTCCCTAACAATGCAGATAATTCTGACCCGCAACAGCAGGTAATGTCCTCTTTTATTATACCCTTGCTGTCTAATCATATGCTTAGTAGTTCAACTGTCAGACTTGTATTTCTGCCATTAATCAGATAATATATTTGACTTGATTTGTTCTAACATAGACCCCTTACTGGTCCTCTCCTCTTTCAGGTGTGGCCTGGTACCTGGGCACCTCATGTGGGCAATGTGCACCTGAACCACGTCAACTAGACAGCGTCCACAGCAATCAAACGCACACCGCATGACCCACAGCGCAAACATGAAATACCAACTGACGAATATGACCGAATAAGACAAACGACAAAAGAAAAACGAAAAACGTACATGTTAACTTTAGTAGAGACCTGAGAGTGCAGAGCAGAGGTTGAAGAATTGGAAGTTCTCTTGACGCCATTCTTCGATGTGCCTATTTCAAACAAGGAAAGAGGAAATTGGGCGAGAGCTGATATCAGTGTCTCGATGATGCAAACAAACATGCGCGATCACCTGTTCAACAGGATCCATTCTCTGCGTAGTTTAGCGATTTTGACTTAAACTCACATACACCGTTCTTGGGCTGCAGGGGGCTCAACATGAAGTAGCTATTTAAACTTGGCCCAGAACTAGATGATGATTACCTAAAGAGAAAGAGAAATCAGAACCTTTTAGAGTGGTAAATACATGTATAATTGTTTACATACTAAAAAGGGTTAAAATGAGAGTAAATTTCATGTCGTATAGTGGCTCTACTTTATGTAGCCTGTATTAATGTGAAATATTTACCTTAATATTCAATAAAAAGATTGAAAAGTATTTGTGTTGTTTTAATGAAACATTATTCTTCATATTTGCATGCTTTGGCTTCAGCAGACATCAAGACATTGTACACATTTTATATTATGAAATGATGATGTTTTTCCTCTTCTCTTTCCTGACTGTTTTTTTTCACCATACAGGAGTCTTTGTGCGATCTTGAAATCTGCCTTTATGGTTGCAAATTGGTCTTAAAGAACAATCTGATTTGGATTTGATACATTTCTTTATTTTATTTACCATTTTATTTATTAAGAAGAATATGTTTAGTTGTTTTTTTCCCCTTTTTAGCTGAGAATGTAGCTAGCTGAAAGGGCTTTACTGTCAAACTGAAATGCTAGTGTGATATATATATATAATATAGTGCTCTGTTTCACATCAAGTTTAGAAAATGTGGTCTTTTATTGTGCCACTGGAGGCAAAACTGCCTCTTCTCAACCCAAAATACATCAGTACTTTTCCATTTGAGATTCAGTGACTGTTATAACACTGAACTTTACCCAATACTGCCACTTAGTGGTAAGAGTGGGGATCTTATTAAAGTAATAATATAGTACAGCTTTCCTGTTAATAGTAAACACTTAATGATCAAACAAAATATGGTTCCAAGGTATGATAAATTACAAAGCCTTAGATTAGTTTGATTCAAAGTGTTACCTCTGCTTTCACTGAAGGTATTGTAACATAAATGCCAACTGACCAGTGGCTCAGAGGGTTTAAGCTATATTCAGAATTTAGTTAGTTATCATATTTGACACAGTCTTCTACTACATGTAAGTTTTATTGACATGCATTAAAACATAAAATTAGTCTGCTGGGAACAATAATGTGTGTTAGTATAAAGTCCATTCTCTGTGTATGTGCACACTTAGACTAGACCAGGGCTGACTTACAAGCTATTTGTGATGTTACTAATCATGTTCAAATTTTAAAAATCAGATTTTCAATGAGCACAAATCATTCAGCACAGTGAAGCTTTAACATCCAACTGGAGGAACAAGAAGAAAAACACATTTTTGAGTGGACTAACTAATGCTGAATCATATTGTTTATGTAGAACAATGCACATTAATAGACAGACAGATACTTTATTTA